TTTAATGTTCATTATACTTTATTATAGTGTCAACATTACCACCAATCACAATTGAAAAAAAACCTCCATTATTTTATTTTTTATCATATTCTGCCTCAGTTTTATTTATATAAAGAGCACAGGAGGACACCAACCCCCCACAGATGGCACCCCAAGGGTCACATCAGTCTTTCTGTTTTTACAGAGCTTTCATGGGGGTCTGGGCACCTTTGGGGGCCTGGGCGGGAGCAGAAGCTGGAGCCTGGGCCTTGGCTGGAGCCTGGGCCTTTGGCCAGCAAGGCCTGTGACCTTTGGCAGTGCGGGCATGGATCTGCTTCTCAAGCTTGGGGTGGGCAATATAGGCAAGTGGAGGGAGCCTGAGGTTTACTCCCTTTGGAATGATCTTGGGCTTGACCTCCTTGGGCTTGACAAAGGCCTTGATATCCTTGGCACGTGCGTTCATGGCTTTGGCATTGTTTGCTTGCATTTTCTTGAAGCCCTTCATGTTGTGCTACTTGGCAAAATGCATGTTCCTAAGGAACTTGGGATCTACACTCTTCAGAGATTTGACCAAGGTTTCTTGAGGCCATTTCTGTGCCATTTTCGAGACTGGTTGTGCATGGTATGGCTCTTGTACTTGGCCTAACTGCACTGTAAGTCATAGCTGCCCAAAAAAAAAAAAACCCTGCTTTAAAGCCTTAGTGAATCTTCTAGTGTCAAAAGTGATAATATGCTGATAAGCTACAAAATTTTTATAAGTGTAATAGTAAACTATTGCACTTCTTGACTAATGAAACCACTTTCTTTATAAGATTCCCAATTATCTCAAACTCAGTCTAGTAATCAAATACTTCCCAATATATAATTACAGATATTTTAGGAATTGAACAGATAGAATCATTATTGTATTTCCTAACTTACATAGTTGGTTTTATGATGATGCGTTTGATATTTTGGCAGCTACAGAACTATTTTCCTCTGAGAAATTCAATAGGGCAAGGGTGCATACTTCTTTGATCTCCCTGACAGACAATAGTCACACATATAAGATTTTGAATGGAAGATGGGAGATAAGGGAGGATGGATGTAGGATCTTTCTAAGTTTGGGGATTTACATAATTCCCAGAATTCTAGTTTTCTTTGACTATAGGATATTAAAATTAAAGCTGGACCACTAACTTAATAAATGTTAAAGGGTGGACCATTCACTTAGCACAGGTGACTCAAGTTAGGAAAACTGAAGAATTTGATCCTGACCAGACTGATTTTGAGGTTCAAATTCATTGCTCGGGAGCTCAGATGCCATTAGTGCAGTAGAAAGGAAGATCCAAGAGCCAAAAGTGCACATGTGACTATTGAAATCACACATGTGGACATGATCTTTCAGGAGACACTGAATTAAGGAAGAAACTTCACCATGGCATTATGGTTTGTGTCTACATGTTCCCGCAAAGCCTCATGCAGTCACTGGGAGTGGCTTCTAGAGTCTGTGACTGATTTACGGTCCAATGCTGGGATTATGGGTGTGAGTGCTACACCCACCCTGGGCAGGCGGCCTCCAGGAGAGGAGGGAGAGAGCCTTGCTCTCTGTTTTTACTTTTATTTTTACTATTTTCCACTGCCATGTGCCACTCAGTCTTTGAGCCAGCTGAGTATGGCCCAAAACTTCCACACTGAAATGTGAGCTAAATAAACCTTTCCTTCCTTAATTCTGGACATCAGATATTTTATCTCAGCTGTGAGAGAAAAGTAAGTAAGAAAAATGGGGTCCAAGACCTGACATCTGAGGGGCAGTCAAAAGAAGAAGCCCAAGAAGATGAAGGTGAAGAAAGTCGAGAACCTGTGGAAAGAGTGGAGCATTTTGCTGTTGGAATCAAGAGGAAGAACAACATCAAGGAGAAGCATTAAAAAGAGTAGAATAAATATGCACTTTTGCAACACAGTTTTATCAGCACTAAGCAATCATGGATTTTTCCAATTTAGATTAATAAGCCACTAGTATATCTCATCTATTTAATTTTAGTTTTGTTCAGACAAACTTTTAAAATCAACCTTTGGAATATAATCTTTTTCAGTTTCCAGGGTGGCTGTGCAAGAAATTACTACAAATCTAATGGCTTAAAAGAGCAGAAATTCATCTCTCATAGTTTTTGAGGCCAGAAGTCTGAAATCAAGTTGTGGTGGAGACTGGAACTTTCTTAGGAGAATCCATTACACCTCTTTCTGGTGGTGATCAGCAATCCCTGCTATTCATTGGCATGACCCACAATAATTTGTCTCCATAATCACATAGTGTGATAGTTTAAATAAAGTGTCCCCAGCTGATCATTGCCTTTAAAGGGTTCAGCTTGCTCTATTTTAATTTTTATTTTATTATTATTATTTTTTAATGTATTTGGTATAGGGTCTCACTACACAGCTTGAACTCATAGTGATCCACCTGTTTTTTCCTCCCCAGTGCTGGGATTACAGGTGTGCACCACCATGCCCAGACTAGGTCACCAGCTCAGCAGGCCCAAGGGCAGGGCCAGTGTGGCATGCAGTACTGGAGACTGAACCCCAGTCCCTGTGCTTGCCTAAGGAGGTGCTTAGTCCACTGAGCTATCTTGCTTGCCCTCCAGTTTGCTCTTCACTTGACCTCTTTTCTCTTTCTCTGCTTCCAGGATGCCATGACGTGAATAGCTTTTCTCCACTGTGCCTTTCAACCATGATGGCTGTATCTCACTATGGGCCTAATAATAACTGAGCCAACAGGCTACGGACTAATACCTCTGGAACAGTGAGCCATAACAAACCCCTCCTCCTTTAAATTGTGTGTGTCAGGTATTTCATTCCAGCAAAGGAAAGGTAACTAACACACAGGGTGTTTTCCCTGAGTATCTGTGTCTGAATATTCCCCTTCTTACAAACACAGTGGTCTCTGGATTAAGCTAGTATGGCTCCATTTAATTTGATTAAATTCACAAAACTATTTCCAAACAACATTACATTCTGAGGTCTTGGATAGAAAGGAAATTTGGGAACACTCTATTCCACTCAGTACACCCATCCTAGGGGCAAGACCATACAAGATGCTACATGAACTGAAGTGCAGCGTAAAGGAATACATTTAAAAATCAGCATGGTGCAAAAGTAGATGAATTTTATGTGGGCATAAACATTTTACCCTTCCATCTCTTCTGATTATTAGCTCAGTAGAAATTCTTCATACTAAACATTTTTTACTTGATATCTCATCTTTTGTGATACATCTTCTCAATAGTTTCTATAAAGAAATTCTCTCTTCTTTTCCTTCCCTCCTTCCTCCTTGGGGAAATCATGGAATCAGAAAACCTTTCCCACTGTTACGGAAGGACCTAGCATGATAGTCTCATAACCATGCATATGGCTGTACTAATGGATTCTCTAAAGCTCTTAAGTAATGAGAAGTGTGGCAAAGGATGATGCATTAATTCACTAGACAAAAGGTACCTTTTCCTCATTATCATCAAATATTTACTACACACTATGGTCTTTGTGGCACCAATATAGGGGAAATGAATGTAACTCCCAACCTGGCAGATGTCAGAGATGCTGTGTTTGTGTTCCCCAACATCAAAGAATGAATTCTGAGGAGCAACAGAAGCTTTGAGTAGAAAAATTTTATTGAAGGAGATAACTCCTGAGAGACAGGCAAGGACCTGCAAGTGGGTTGCCAACAAGCCCACTACTCAAAAGAAGTTTTATAGAGCCAAAAAAATCACAAGAGGGGCACAAAAATCATGGGGTGGGCACAATGTAGGTCAAAACTGTGATCAGCCAGTAAGATTATAAGTATGGTTACTTAGGTAATATTGATCCAACGTGGAAGCAGGTCATGTAGCAAATGTATATGGAAAGAACAAAGAACTTTTTAAGGAAAGGATGGATTAGGAGGTCTTAGTCACCCAGCTGCTGAGTGATATCTATCTAGACTTTATTGGACCAGGAGGTACCACTTATCTTATCCCCCAAGGAGGCATGTAGGCCTCATTATTCCATCATTCCATCTGTAACTTGAGGCCTGGCCTTTAACAGATGCGCCTCCATCCACAATTATGATGTGTTACCCTCTTCACGGATTCCCTGGAAAGCCTAGCCTTGGTTGAATGCCGTAGTATATCTATGTGATTCAGCTGTCTAGTATGGTATCAGTAGATATTACATGTAATAGGATCTCGAAAAGAAGGGTCCCTAAGAAGACATCAGAGAGGGACAAAACGTGCGCAAACATAAAGGCATGGTAACATTTTGCATTAGTAATTCTGACATTACTTAGAGTCATTCTGTCAGTTCAAGAAGTGACTCTAACACGTGATTCATGGTGGAGTCTTCACCATCATCCTTGGTGTCTTCTCAGCGACCTTTCATCTGTGACACTTTTCATGATCCTTAAATGGGAACCAAGCCAGGCCCAGCCCACCAGGACCTGTCCACCCACCCAGCCCGCAAAGCCCTGCAAACCCGAAGCCGAGCCTGCCACGCTCTTCTCGGGCCAAGGCTGCCAGGGAGGGGCCGTGTTCGGGTGGCTGTAGGTGTTACGTGACTTCTGGAAGTCCAGCTGGCCTTCCCTTTCCAGTCACACAACTTCAAGGAGACGCGCAGATTGTCTTTCCAAGCCTGGGCTGTGTAAATAGGATCGCACTTTAAAGGGGAAAAGTAAGGGACGCTGTACACGCAGCTCTGGGAAGCGAAGGCTTCAGCACTGTCCCATGGGGCGAAACTGTCCCACCGAGCGCTTCCAGATGGCTCCTGAGTCGGGGAGAAGCGGAGAGCCTAGAGATCTGTCCTGTCTGTCTCGCTCTGCCCGCCCCGAGTTCCCGCTTCCTCTGCCCGTCCGCTCCGGGCCGCTCCGCCCCGCAGGGTCCCCGCGGCCCCCGCCCGAGGATCCTCACCCCCGGGACCCACACCGGAGGCGAATTCCTGTGGGTCTCGGGAGCGCCCGGAGTGCGGAGCGGACGGGAAATTGCAAAAGCCCTGCCCCCCGCCCCCCGCCTTCCCGGAATCCCGCCCTCGGCCCGGCCCGCACGGATTAGCAGAGCCGCCCGCACGTCCACCCGTGTCCGAACCCGCGCCGAGCACCGGGCCGGCTCGGCGCCCCACGCCGCCGCGGGTGAGTACGGCCGGCGCCCCTGCCCACTGCGCGCCCGGCCGCCCGCTGCTCGAGTCGCGGCCAAGGCCCGGGCCCTTCCGCTCTCCCGCGACAAGCCGTGTCCCGGGCTGCCGTCCCGGCCGCTCCTCGCGGTCGCCCGCGCCCCGACGGCCGCCTGGCTGGGAGCGCTCGGCCGAGAAGCCGCAGCGGGCGGGGGGCGGTACGTTGCGCCCGACCTAGGTCAGAGCCCTGGCATCCACCGGCGGGAGGAGCATCGGGCCAGCGTCTGTCCACCCACCCCGTCCGCGTGTCCAGGCACCCCTCCGTCCTTCCCTCCTCCGTCCGTCCATCCCGCCTGCTATGTGATGGGGCGGGCACTGCCTCGAACTCTGGAGAAAGAGTTTTGAAAATAAACTTATTTCTGACTCCAGAGGGCAGAAGGAGTGGAGGTGGCCAGGGGCCACTGAATGGTGTGTGCTGGTCCATTTGATCTAGGAGGCCCATGGCATGAGGAACAGAGGCAGACGAGTCTTAGTCCCAACTCTGAGCAGACTGTTGGATTTGGGTTGTTTCTTCTCATGTCTGAGTTTGTTTCCTTGTTTAAGAAATAATAATGATTCATACTTACTATAGTCAAGGCACTATTTTAAGTATGAGCTTCGTGTGTTTGTGCTTTTAAACTTCATCAGGGACAATATTTCTAGATACTACTGTCATCCTCCTCCTGTTATCCACGAGGAAACAGAGCCCCGGAGAGGTTTAGAAGTTTGAGTCTGCTCAGGAAGCCAGCAGGTATAGTTAGAACTGGACTTGGGAGTCTGCTCACAACCACCTGCTGTTCCTCACAGTCCAGGCTTTTGAGAGTGGCCTTGGAAGTGGTCTGTTCATCTTTGTTCTGTTTCATCTCTCTCCGGGGTTGCTTTATGCTGCTTTCTGACACTCCTGCAGTTGAAGAGCTTCAAAGGGTCACAGTGCCAGGGTTTCCCAAAGTGAGCTAAGTCTGAGAATCGTGTGTGTGTGTGTGTGTGTGTGTGTGTGTGTGTGTGTGTTGGGGTGGGGTGGGGGTGTTTAACCACTGGCGCCTACTCAAAATCTTCAGGACATGCTTAGTTCCACTCTCCTCTGGTGGCCTTTGGGTACTGTTAGCATGGACCCAGTAGCAGGAAGCTCCCATCTCATTGCTGGACAGAGCTAATTCTCAGCTGTTCTTTGTCCCCTTGGGACTATATCTGCGCCCCAGTGCCCTTCCTGTTGTCCATACTTTCCCTATGGAAGGCAGCTTTGAGAGAACCAGGGCAGGTGCCGGCGTCCAGAGGGGCCCTTAACCCCCCTGGGGAAACCTTGTGGCCCTGGATTGTTTCCCTCTGTGCTTTTCTTCACCTGAATAGAGCAAGGTCACCCTAGTGGAGAGACCGCAACTGGGCTGGGTCTCTAATGTTTCTCTACCTCTTGTGTCCTGGGAAAGGAGCCACGTCAGGAAAACTATTATGATTCTGAATGAGGAATCAGTGATATTGTATCTGACAAGAGGAAGCGGTGTGTTTTCCTTGTGGGAACTGGGCTTGGGCATTTGTTGGCTTTAGTAGAGAAAAATATTTGTGAATGTCATTTCATTCACTTACAGAAACAAGGAGCTTTGGCCTTCCTTTACTTTGGCCTTCCTAGAAGAGGAAGTCCTCTATGTTTTGAAATAATGTGCAACTGGAAAAAACAACACAAATAGCATATCTTGATCTTTCTAGGGAAATTTTTCCCTCCAAGCAAGCTTATTTAAAGCTAGACAGAGGTTCTTGCCCAGATTCTCTCTTCCTTCTAGTTCTGCTGCTTCCTTGGCATTTACTCTAGCTTGAAAGGCAGCACAACCTAGGCAACGAATGAGTATGGTTTCATTCAAACAGTGCACAAGTGTATGCAGTGAAACACAGACTTGCAACTGTCACCCGAACACCACACTTACAGATGATGGTCCGCTTTGTTAAATGACTTTCTAAGGTGTTTTCATCTTGTCTACAGATATACAGAATAGGTACATGCACGTAAGTTTTCAAGTATGTTTATTTATTCTACAATTTCCCTTGTCCCTTTCCAAGTACTAGAGTTCTTTCCAGATTTCTACCAGCCTCTTTTGTTAATGTCTCCATGTTCCTCTAAAGTGGAAAGAGAATAAAATTTATCCATCCTTTCCTTCATTCCCGGACATTCAGATTCTTTACATTTATTCAGCATTAGCAATGGCATTTTAAGAAGGCTGTGCTTTCATCTTTAGTGCAAGTGTGTATGTTTCTGTGGGCAGAACTCCCAAGAGCACTCTTGTCCTGCAGAAGGTTGGCCTGTATTTCTATTTGATACACACAATGCTTTGAATTGTAGTTCTCCCTCCGTTTTGCTAATTTAAACTCAATATATGATGACTTGTTGCCCCCACCCCTTCTAACATTTGCTGATTGCTTTTTAATTTCCACAGCAAGAAAATGAGTACAAAAGATACATTATATTAATTTACATTTTGCTGATTACTGCTACAATTTTATATTTCTATATTTGTGGGTCATGCATGTTCTGTGAATTATCTTTATCTTCTACTCATTTAAATTTTTAAAAATTCTTATTTATGTATATATTTGGTACAGGGCTTCACTACACAGCTCAGACTCATAGTGATCCTCCTGTCTCAGCCTCCCCAGTGCTGAGATTACAGGTGTGCACTGCCACACCTGGTTTCGGTAGATAGTTCAGCATGCAGTACCGGAGACTGAACCCAGGTCCTTGCACTTTCCAGGCAGGCACTTATGCAGCTGAACTATATCCCTAGCCCTGTCTTTTACTCATTTTTCTCTTGAGTTTTTTCTTATTTGTATTTATTGCAGAAAGTTTGTATCTATCTGGATCTTAATCTGTCATTTCTTATAAAGATGCAAGTATTTATTCTGACATACTTCTTTATTTTTCAAATGTTTCTATTGTGCTAAAATATATATGGTATTTACCATCTTAACTATATTTACCATTAACTGTATTTACCTTTTTGGGGGGTTATTTTTGAAACAAGGTCTCACTGTGTGTAGTTCAGGCAGGGGTTGAGCTCACTGTGCAGTGCAGGCCGGCCTCACACTCGCAGCGATCCCCCTGCCACACGCAGCCTTCCGAGTTCTGGGATGGCAGCGTACCATTACCAGGAAGCATATTCATGCTACTGTGCCCCAGTTGGTGCCACTCATCCCTGAAACCTCTGTGTCTTGCAACACGGAAACTCTGCTCTCATTAAATAGCTGCCCTCATGCCGGGCCCTCCACCTCTGTCAGCAACTTTCTCCTTTCTGTCTTTTGGATGCAACTAACCAAGGCACCTCGTGTAAGTGGACTCATTCAGGATTTGTCTTTTTGTCACTAGTTCACGTAGTGTGCTATTTTTAAGGTTCATCCATGTTTTAGCACACAGCATTTCTTTCATCTTTTAAGACTGAATAAAATTCCATTTTTGTGTGTGCCACATATTTGCTTATTTATTCATAATGCTTTTTATTTTTTTAAAAAATCTGTTACTTATTTGTTTGGTACAGGGTCTCACTACGCAGCTGGGACTTGTAGTGATCTTCCTGTCTCAGCCTTCCCAGCGCTGGGGTTGCAGGCACGCACCACCACACATGGTTTTGCCCAGGGTCCTGGGACTGACACAGCATATGATAATGGGGTTCAAACCTGGGTCCTTGTACTTTCCAGTCAGGCATTTAGACCACTGAGCTATCGCCCCAGCCCCTCATACTCCTTTTGCATTTAGTGTAAAAGTTTTAAGTAGTTGTATATCACAATAATCTCATCATTTGAAGTTTTAGATAGTTCATTCAATGCTATTTATCTTTTAAAATTCATTTGAAATCAGTTTGTATCATAAAATCCCCCTTTTATAAGGACCTTTTCAGGACTCTGTTCTGTTTTGTTTATCTTCTATGTCATTCAAAGCCTGCTGAACAATAGAGCTTTAATGGTATGCTTTTATGTCTAGTAATATATATTTGCAACTTAAAAAAAAATTTAGAAATCGCTCTTTCACAAATTCTTTTTTATGTACGCCTTACAACTAATCAAGTTTAATATAATCCTGTTGAAATTCCTGTGAGTTTGTAATTTTTAACAACTTTTGGTAATTAACTAATACTTGTGGGTTTGGGGAGGTAGCTTAGTGGTCAAAGTGCCTACCTGGTAAGCGCAAGGACCTGAGTTCAGTCCCCAGTACCGCATGCTGTGCCAGCTTCACACCAAGCAGGCCACTGCAACCTGGTATGGTGGTCCATGCCTGCAATCGCAGCACTGGGGAGGCTGAGACAGGAGGATCACTAGATAAAAAATAAAATTAAAATCAATATTTGTGATGCTAGGGAGTGAACCCAAGTTCTTGCTCATGCTAGTAAGTACTCTACCACACCTATACACCCACCCTTACTCTCCATTTTAGTCTGTGCTGTGTAAGATATGTGTCCTACAGTAAAGGGCTGGGCTTAAGGGAATGGCTTCCCAGGAGGTCCAGCAATTTGCCCCTGGGAGGGTGGTATGTGATGCTTTAAGAGTGAAGGGGAAGTCTCGGTAGATATCCAGGAAACTGTAGACGCCAGGAATGTGGAAGATCTGCCAAGGAAAACCTTAGGCAGTGATCAGAGCCAACCTGAGAGAGAGGCCCCTCCGGCTGCAGCCAGGAAGACCATGAGGTAGGGCTGAGCAAGGACTTTGGAGCGCATGTCTCCCCATAATTTACCCTGGATGCTGATGCGGCTATAAGATTCAACATGTTCCCTGTTGGATTTTGCTGTTGCTTTGGTCCAATTCATTTCTGTCTTACAGTTCCTCCCTTATGGAAAAGAAAGGTCTGTCCTGCATTATTGTACGTTGCAACTATTTAATTCCATTTTTTTACTTTTACAGGGGCTCATAACTATGAGTTTGCCTTGAGTCTCAGAGGAGACTTTGAGCTTAGATTTTACAATAATGCTGAAACTGTTAAGACTTTGGCTACTCTTAGAGATAGAC